GGAAAGTGCCCTTAACTAAATATTCTACTAACTCCAGGATACTAACATCCGGGAGGAAGGATCTTTAGTTCGTTAACCGTCGAAATCGTTCCCCAATTTTATGGGCACCCCGCAAGTAGTGAGGAGGGAGTAATTTAACTGATTACATTTGGGCAAGTTACACACGAATGGTATTACTTAGACGATTCGGTGCCATTTGTTTGTAATTGCACAGGTGGGAGGATTGTTTACACGGCGTGCGAGCACCTCTCAATGGCTCGGCCTGCAGGGGAAGGGGGAGCGGTGACCTGCTGGCCCTCCTCCCCGCGCCGCGGAGGCGCCGACCGGCGCACGCGCAGAAAGCCGAGCCAGTTGCCCGCCGCGCAGCCTCCAGCTTGTTTACATCGATAACAGTGACGTTTACCCCTTCGCTAACTCACTAAGGGCCGGTTTTTTGATCCGTAGTTAACCCAACCAATTGTTAAAAATCTTGACTAATGGTTAAATATCGACAAAATGTGTTTTTTGATCATTAGTTAGCTTAACTAATTGTCAAATTATTAACTATTAGTCAAATAATTTAACCACGGCGCGGTGGCGGGTTAAGCAAGATGGCGGATAGTTAAACTAGATTCGACAGCTGATTCTTGCTTTGTTGTATAATTTTGTGTTCTCATTCCGAAGAATTACATTTTATCTATAATTAATTTAAATATTGTCCGTTATTTTGATGCGTCAGACTCAGAAGATTTAAAGTTAGAACTGCGGTTTTCCCTGGAAATTTATGAAATAATGAATAAAATACCACATCAAAATACATAGTAAAAATACCACGAAAGTCAGCACAATATTTGAAGAGTTATGGATGACTTTTTTTTATCTAGTAGTTCGGCAAACGGGGACACGGATTACCTGATGGTAAGCAATCAGCGCCGCCCATGGACACCCGCAACGGAGGAGTTACGAGTGCGTTGCCGATCTTTTAGGGATAAGGGATTTGGAGACTCAGGGATTGAGGAGGGAATTGGGGGAGGGGAAGGATTGGGCCTCCGGCAACCTCACGAACACGGCGAAACACAACGCTGTGGTTGTTTCATGCCGGTTTTCTGTGAGGCCGTGGTATCACTCCGGTCGAGCCGACCCATTCGTGCCGAAGCATGGCTCTCCCACACTTATAAGACATATAAAGAAAGACATTTCCTTACTTGTTTCCTGACATTTTTATTTAATAAAAAGTCCTTTATTTGTTGCAAAAAACACCAAGTTTAAGAAAACACTATAAAACCCATAGACTGAGAATAGAATAGACAAGCTATTAAAACAATAATATATACGTTTCTTGTCCCTTTTTAGCGTAATTATGCTTTATTTTATTTCAATCGAACCAATACGGTAAATTAATACGGTATATTGCAGTGAAATTGGCTGTAAAAGCCGTAGTGAGCCGTTTAATGTACATACCTACCTATAATGTATATATAAGACATTTTTTATCTCACGTCGTATACGCTATTAGCTTCTCTATACCTATACTATCTCTATGATAAAACCAAACGATTCAGTTTGAAATCAAGACACTTTTGAAAGTTTTGAAATATCAAAAATGACATTTGGTTCAACTTCATTCATTATTGATCAGTGTTGTCAGTCAAAGAAAAATACCCACAAATAAACACGTTTTTTCTAGGGAGGAAGTTGTTCATTGCACTGGCAACAAATTAACCAATGGTTATGTTTGACTATAGTTAAAGTGGACATCAAAAAATGAAATTACGTAATAACAATTGGTTACCCTCTTGACTATAGTTAAGATAACAAATAGTCAAATCGTATTTAACTACGGATCAAAAAACTGGCCCTAAAACTTCCGAATTCTAAAACAATTAGTGGTGCGAGTGAAACTGCTGTGAACCTTTATCTGAAAGTGTGGCAGATTACAATCGTAAACGTAGCTGTTGTGTGACCAATGTTCCCATTGTAGGTTGCAGGCATTGTGGCATTGTACGCTTTTGCCAGTCTTTTACGAATATTTTGCATTTGCAAAAAAGTTGCACAGCTGGTTCCTGTGATAACACCGGGGCGGACAATTGAATGATGGATGCTTTATGTTATAACATTATACTACTTCCTGAGGCTTTACATGAGTTTTGTACGAGTTCAATTGTCTCTTTCTAACAGGATTTTTCGATGTTATTATGAGTCTTTGAGGATTTGGTATATAAAATCTTACCTTAAAGGTTTTCATTTTCTAAATAGGTATCTAAATTTTCAATCGGTTTTGGTGTCGGCATTAGGTAATTAAATAGCGTGCTAATACTCTAGATTAATTGTAACCTAAAACTGCACACGAACAATTAAATGTTCAGGTTTATGATACAAGGATCGTTGCACCTACATACGTGTACATGGTCATAATCAAGGCATTGTGATTGGTCCGCAGCACATGAAGCATAGCGTGACCGTTGAACCATGGCCGTAAGTGCTAAGGACCTGAGTCAACGCATGAGGTTTCAAATTGAATATAATTAAAAGAAGTACTTACATGAAAAAAGTATGGTGATTCGTAATATTTACACAAGTGTAAACGTAAGCAATGATTTCGCTTTTGCAAAGATATTAAACGTAGCGTCAGCGAATATTTATTTGGAATAAGTTACCGCAACGGCATCAGTTGACATACTTTGCAGACGGTTAGTTCCATAAGCCAAAGAAAATGAGTCGTTATTGTAAATTTCTCATAACCCGACACGACGCGATTACTGTTACTAATCAGTATCATTGCCACGGGACTGAATTGCCATTGTTGCTTGAAGAGTGATCGGGTAACATAATAGTTACTCTGGCGCCGATCTAGATACCCAGATGTCGGTAGAAAGCGCCGAGACACTTCGCGACACTTACAAACTTGCTTATCAAATAAATGTACATATTTATACATTCATTATCTGGCACCATTTCTACAAGCTTTTTCTTCATCAAATTTTTAAAAGAACAGAACAGTAAGATTGCGCCCATTCTTGTTGCACAAATAGGTTAAGACCTTTAGCCATCTCATTATCTGCAAACTAATTAAGCATTGCATTATAGTAATTATGCGCTCAGAAATGCTCATCTTATCGTAACGTGAAACAAATGAGGTCCCACGTAATTTCGTTAGGCACTGAGCAAGCGTTGACAATGGATCGCTGGTTGAATGGTGAAGTCTCGTGGTTAATCGTCAATTGTTCGTGTGATTGTATTCACTAGATCTAACACTATGATAATAAATAAATAAATAATAAATAAAGCTTTATTGGTTTCAAACATTATCGTTTCTTACAAAAATTGAGGCAGCCCCGGTAAGTTATAAATAATACTTGTGATGGGGTTACCTCGCAACTTCCCTTATATTAATTACATTGTTGAGACCAATCGAAACAAAAGAGGTAGGTACTTATTTATATAACAAAAATAATGCTTATGCTATGACATGCATGAAGAGTGTGTACATATGTGTGTGTGTGTGTGTGTGTGTGTGTGTGTGTGTGTGCGTGTGTGTGTTTATGATTATGATTATGATTCTCGTACTAGTATATATTCAATTTCTTCATATGTTAGTGTTTTTAGCCATTCCGTCACAGTTTTTTTACAGTCGTATAGCAGCTTAGGGTTAAAGTATGTATAAAGTTACACTATGTATTCTGTGCTCCTTCGTCACACAAGCATGTAACGTAATATGTTCTGACATTAACGTTTATAGGGTTTTCTCTACCTCGCTTCACTATTATATTTTCCCTAACATGCCTGAAGAGAAAATGTTAGTCCCCTCGTAAAGTTTCAAAACCGCGTGACAAAGGCATGCAAACTGGCGGAGTCAACGATTTGCGAGCTATGCGCTAATGTGCACTATGTGGTAATTATTCCTGCATGTTGCGAGTCTGCGGGCCTTTAGTTACAACTCTCCAGGAGTTTTTGCGTTATTTCATGAAAATATACGTTTATGCATCATTGCGTTGCTTTAAAATTAAATAATGGGCACGTACATTGGCGTCATTAGCATTTCTAAAATGTTAAACAGATTATAACGCAATTTAAATGCCGAGCTAAGCAGTATTACATTGCAACTCGTTTGGATTAGGTTTAACTAAACGAATATTATCACGGCAACCATTTCGCAACCGGTGACATCAAAAGTAAATTGGAAGAGCAATTCAGTCCCCGTTGTTTGCGGATATTACGGCGAGGCCAATCAAAGCTTTGTACCGACTTTCAAAACCATCATTATATCCAATTTATTGACTCTATTACTTGTAAATGTGAAATACCTAGTCATGTAACAGCCATACAACAAGTGCTAGAACATAAACACGATATATCTAATTCATCGATAATTGGAAATGAGGTTTCACTTTCCGCTCGTGTGAGGATACACACACGTTTTAGAAAAATTAATGTTCGAACAACTTGACGAATTTGGGCCTATTTAACGTACAAGTTTTGCCTATGTTGTGTAAGTGTCGAAGATGGGTCTTATAGTGGGCAGAAATTGAAAATATTCTACCCACAAGAAGGTATGCGAGTAGTAGGTGGCAGTTTAGTATAGTTAGTGGTCTTTCGAACGGAAATTCGTAGCCTAAACTGCAGTTAGCCGTACTTCAAACGTTACGCGAAGATTTCCGCGCGTTTGATCTAAGATACAGTAGGCATTGTGTGTCTGGGAGTGAGGTAGTGAAGGTGCAGTAGTTTGGAGGGGCGGTGATAGTCAGATAACGATGGTTGCGATAACGGCCGGAGGCCGAGGAGAGCGCGTCGCAGTGCCGAGTGTTGCCGGCTCAGCGGCTCGGCGGCTCGGTCGCCTCACTACACAATTTTTTCAACACTTTTTGCGCGTCTAGCTACAAGGTTGTCGGTCGTGTTGTTGTGACTTGTGTGCACGTACGTCTGTAAAGGTTTTAAATGAAATTTGTTTATTTTTTCTTCCCAATATCACGGATCAGTTCTCACTATTCAAATCACTGTGTAATTCTTTTGTTGTCGAGTTTTTCTTGAGTATTTTGTGTTGTTTTCGTTTTGGTGTACCTACAACAGTTACGGTAAAACAATGATTGTATGAGTGAGAAGTGTTAGTCAAGTGATCAGTGGTGAAAATGAAGGAGTCAACTCCTCGTTGCGAGGATGTGGCGGATAAACTGGTGCGGTTGTTCGGATGGAGACAGACGTACCCGGTGCAGAAACTCCAGAGGAGTATACTGCCTCAGACTAGTGCCACGGTAAGATTATTACAGAAATATACAAGTCACTTACTGTTCAAACAGTACTGGGATTAAATTTAATTACAAAAAAAAACAACTCTCTGTCTGAATTTGGTGCTCAAGTCAAAAGCAAAACAATTGCTGCTTAGTTATGTAATTAGTACCTGAAAATTTAAATTTAGAATATTATCTTTCTCTTTTAGATCTAGGTTATGTTTATTTTTATTTGTTTTCTTAAGATACAGTACACGTTATTTTAAGCGCCACACAGTTATTCATCATCAAAGATAACTTTATCGTATTGTAGCTTGTACTTGTAGAGGAAAATAATTAGCAGGCCGTGTTACTTTACTAATCTACTACAAAGATTTGATAGAAGCCAATAAAACATTACGATTTAATAGCTCATTATTGATAATGTGACAAATTCCTCTATAATAGATATCTACGAATTGGACGTAAATATGTTTCAATGCAAAACCATTTAATTACTCCTAAGACCTGTGTCACAATATCTGAATAGCCGTTATGTATCAGTATCAGACTAGCTATTCTCGCTCAGTTCCTCCCGCTGTTCGGCTCCATTTGATTGTATCGTGATGTTTTATAACTATCATATGTTTCTTTTTATACACATATATATGTTTTATTGGGAACATTGTAGCTATCAATAAGTGAAAGATTTCTGGGAATCCGACCAGTAGTTCCAAAGATTACCCCCTACATACAAACTTACAAATTTTACCTCTTTGTAATATTAGTTTAGTTGTATATTAGTGTTAGGTCTTATGTTTAGAAGAGTATTATTAATCTTTGATTCGTCCCTAAAAAAAATATCTCACTTCTTCTTTAGATAATTTAAATCTAAACCGTAGCAGAACAAACGATATACATGCAACAGAGCAACATTAAATTCCACACAAATGTGGTAACACACGTAACAGTTTTAACAAACGATTAGGCGGGGAAAATCCGTGCATTTTTTTATAATGGCAACACCTAATACTTCCTGCAATGTCGCCTCGTTACATACGCATGTCGATGTTGCTATTGTTACCAACTACTTTCACGAAGCTCTTTGTGATCTGAAAGTGGAAAGTAATTCATTAAATCAACTCACTTATAAATAAGTTGCAATTACATCGCCGATGGCACCTCCCTGTATATTCACGCGATACGGACGTTGAACCCTGTGTATAAGTTGCATACGGAGTTACAATTATTCAATATTAGTTACTGTCCCGCGGTTTCAGCCGCTGCTCGGCTCTTATATATCGTAGCATGAAGTTTTATAGTCTATAGCCTTCCTCGATAAATAGACTAACAAACATAAAAAGAATACTTCAATACGGTAGTTTCCAACTAGTCAAATTCAATACATTTATCCAAATGTCAAAAACGAAACTTTTCTATGAAATTTGTATGAAAAACTGAGTTATGACGCGTCATAGTATTTTTGCGTCAAATAGCTTACTTATTTCTTAATGATTAGTTAATAAATATTTAAAATTTAGTGTATCGATCGATCGTTGAATTAAAGTATAGTTATTTTTCAATATTTTATTGTATTGAAACGTCGAATTAAACCACCTAATTCGAAATAGTAGCTCCCGAGATAAGCGCGTTCAAAAACAAAAAAACTCTACAGCTTTATAATATTTTATTCAATATTAAGTACCTAGTTTCAAAGCCAAAGTAGCTGTGCTAGAGAAATCAAATCTAGGCAATAATACCAGTTAGGTAAGCGATTTTTGTAGAACGCTAAAAACATTTTATTACTTATGAAAACGCTTTGATCGATAAACGATTGAAATGGAAATGTAAACAAAATTTAAAACTGTAACAGTATTGTGGTTCAATGAAATGAAATGTCAGCCTAATTACAATAGTTATACATATAATGCAGATTCAGCGAACAAAATATCAAAATTGCACTCTGAATTTTGTGCCTTGCTTTCATTTGTTTTAATAATTAGACAAAACAAGACAGCTGTGCATGATATGCAGTAATTAGAAGTCTTGTAACAGTAAGTATAAATAATAATTACAAAGGAATAAATTGATTTCTAATAAGCCTTTTAGTCGCATTACGCTCAATCAAAACATTTTCTGCTCTGAAAATTCATCAACCAACTTCACTATCGAGTACTCGAGATAAACTCAGCGATGTTACTAATTGGACACAATAAATACTGATGATTAATTACTATCTCGACCTTGATGTAATCAGTGAAATTCCGGGCTTGGTTTAACGATGTATGCTTTGCCGATGTCACTTGATAACGGTCGTCCTGTACCTTCATAGACAAAATAGTCGTATATAATATATAATGTTGGAAGATACTAGCCAATTTTTTTTTACGAATCCTTAATAAGGTATCGTAAATTCGGGTTAACTTAGTCCTGCAGGATTTGGGTTGTTTTAAAATACTAGTACGTATGGCCTTATGATCCGGTGAGCTTATTCTAAATAACTCAGTGTTAGAACAAAATGTTTATCTTCGTTTTCCATTCAACATCTCAAAAGTCCTAATCTTACTGGTTCATCATCATCAGCCTATAAGTGCCCACTGCTGAGCAAAGGCCTCTTCTCACATGGAGAAGGTTTGAGCATTAATCACCAAACTTGCTCAATGCGGGTTGGAGATTTCAAACTTATAATTAGAAATTATAAGTCCAGGTATACCTCACGATGTTTACCTTCAGCGTATGTCAGTGGTGACTAAATAATCATAGAAAGTACATATAAATCACACTCAAAAGTCACATTGGTACTTCCAGGTTTCGAACCTGCACCCTCATGCTTAAGTAGCGGGCGCGCATAACCTCTGGGCCACCACGACATCTTACAAGTTCATTTACTAAAATTTCTTCAAACAATGGTTTTAATGGGTTTCATATTTCCTTCAGTTTTCTTTTTGCTTTCAATTCTAAACACCGCAGCGTGTTAACATCAGGAAATTTTTAAGCTCTGTTTAACGATCTCCAATCACACCGCAGTTTCTGCAAAGTTTTTAGCGTCCGTCTGAACTTAAAGTCGAACGGATAAGATTGGATATAAAAGTAATTAATTATCTTAGAAATCCCTGAACTCCATCATACCTAAGATCAGAGCAACTGAATTAATTTGACATTGATTTACTTTTGAATCATAACCAGCTTCTATTTTCCATAAATATTGATCCTTATACAAATATTGAATCACTAGGCTTGGCTATTTACGGTGTCGTTGGAATTCTATGATAATTATCTTTAAATATTGGCTAGCCTTCTAATACTTCTAGTAGATCATCCAGATGTGATAAACGTAATATTTTTTGGTATTTCTTTGTTTGTAATTTGTATCTTATCTCTCATACTTATAACTTTCATTTTTCATCGTATACTTTTTTTCAGATTATTGCATTTTTTCTTCTGTAGTGGAATTAATGAGATCAATTTCCAAGAACACATTCTTTATAACTATATACGTTGTTACATTGTAAATTCGATGGGAATCTTGTAGTTTCTCGTTACTGTATGTAAGAATGCCTTGGGCCTTGGGTTAAAAGATCAAGTCCCATGTCCTTTTAAGTAGTGATAGATTGATTGGTCCGTAGGCAGGGCTTGCTATCTGTGGTAAACGATTTCCGTCATGAGATCCTTATTGAAAAGCATTCATAAAGTACTTTTTGCTGCATACATGACATGGCTTACAATAGTTGTTGTCTAAACAAAAGAAAATCTTTAAAGGTTATGAAAAATATTTAGTTTTTATTCCGCGAAAAAAATCCAGACTTGTTGCACGATGCAATGCCACTCTTGTATTTATATTTTTCATAACATTTAATGTCATGGATTTTCGCAAAGTAACGGCTGATTCTATAAATTATCAAAAGATAATCTTTATTTTAAAAAGTTGCAATAAATGTGTCAATTATAGAATTGGCTTGCCAAAGATGTTCACAGTATTTGATAAAAATTAAGGCATGTGTAATGCGAATTGAAAAGCTTAAATATTTTAATATATAAGTCATAAAACGAAAAAATAAGGCTGGCAAACATTGTGTTAAATTTAATTTTTTTTTCCCGTAAATTTAGTTTGAATTTGTGTCTGCATGTTACTTTCCCAGAAAGCACTGGATCGATTTTGATCAATTTTAGTAAGATGATAGAAAAACGTGGTTATTGCAATTTCGCGAAAATTAACCCGAGTCACGAGTTTAAAATGAACACTTATTTACAATGTATAATCATTAGGAACGTGGCAGATAAATAAATTTTATAGATGCTTTGTCTGGAAAACCCGCGTTATTCTCAATTGTTTGTGATTAGCTAACTAATTATGGTTGTAACGAGCAAGATGAAGTGCGCTGATTGCTTACTTATCTTTGTGAAAAATATTTAAGTGCAAAATTCTCAATATTTAAGTGTAGAATCTTTTAGGGTATAAATTTGTATTTCAAAGTTATATTTAAATTTATAGTTTTTTTCTCTCTTTTTTTCACAGTGATGACATAGGCCATTTTTTATATGGAGTACAAAAAAATATGGCCAGACAATTAACATGCCAACGTAGTTAAGATCCTTATGAAAAGCAATTACGAATGTACATTAGTATTTTACATAAATCTAAGAAATAGTCAAATGATAGGTTGTTTCCAAGCTATCTATAATTCTACATGACTATCACCGCGTTGATTATTTTAATGACTGATTACAATTTTCAAATAAGTGTCCACCGGTTCGACGGAGAAAGGTGTGGTAGCAATATTATATCAATGAAGACTTGTAATTGTAGTTGTACATTTGTGAAGTATGCTTTCTCCTCTGCCAATCTCCAGAGTGAATGTGAGTGAGGTTTCATGTTACGACAAAACAAAGCCTATGTATGTAGATTAACTTGAATGGTAGTTTGTTTGCTCATGTTGTACTCATTTCCTTACTGTAAGTACAATATGAACGGACTAAGTGCTTGAGGTCTCCCCCAGGCAATGATTTCTACAGTTTTTAACCGATTTTAACCCTTTACTTGCTGC